TGTTGTAGAACAACAAAAGTTGTTGTAGAACAACAAAAGTTGTTGTAGAACAACAAAAGTTGTTGTAGAACAATAAAGGTTGTTTAGGGACAACAAAAGTTTTTCACGAACGGCAAATGTTTTTCGGCAGCAAGCTATTGAAGAACAGTAAAAGTAGTTACGGAACAACATAGCTGTTTGTCGTCAACATTGCGCAAGTAAACACCCCTTCACACATTGGTATATACAGTCGAATGAAGCTGCATTCAATATACACCGACGGAAAGGATGCAGAGTCGTTAGCGAGAGCCAACGGCTTCTGTTTCGCACAATGGTTTGCGTGACGGCTGCTCAATTAAGTAACAGCATATTTGTGAAGTGACAAGTGGTCTGTAATCAAGACATTACAAATCTTTAGTCATGTGACAAAACCGAGAGGGTAATCACTATAGAAAGTAGGTGTACACATTTCTATAAAAGTGAAAGCGACAAAAAGTTGACTGAAAGTGATGAAAACTGAAAGAAAATGTGGATAAAAGTGACTTATCGTGCGATGATCAGATCAAAAATGAATAACATAGATGGGATATGGGCATAGAAATGAAGTAAACGTTGTAAAACAGTGAAAAATTGAATAAAAGTGGAAAAGTGAAAAGTTGAGGTATACGCATTTTCACGGAGTGATTACCCCCTCGTACAAAACATTACTCCGGAGATAAATGATATTTGTTTTAAGAAGCGTGACGACTGATTTGTCATCATTAAAACAAAGGAGTCATCACACATGTGACGTCTCATTTGTTCGGGAGCGCGCTAACTGCGCGAGGTCGGTGACTGCGCGAGGATTGCAACTGCGCGAGGACTGCAACTGCAGGGGGTCAGTAACTGCGCGTGCTCTGCAACTACGCGTGGCCAGCAACTGCGCGAGGAGTGCAGCTGTTCATAACTGCGCATGGCTGCAACTGCGTGAGGTTTGTTCGGAGATTAGGCAGGTTTGGTTGGGTTTTGTTACGTTGTATTAGGTAAGGTTCGATTTCGTTGCGTAAGGTTTCGTTAGTATGTTTCGTTAGGTTTTGTTAGGTTAGATTTCGTTAGGTTAGGTCTCGTTGGGTTAGGTTTCGTTAGGTTAGGTTCTGTTCGGTTAGATTTCGTTGCTTAAGGTTTCGTTAGGTTAGGTTTCTTTCGGTAACATTCGGTTAGGTTATGTCTGGTTGGATTACGTTGCGTTGCTTTAGTTCATTCGCGCAGATGCAGACTCGCTCAGTTGCGCGCAGTTACAAAGAACACAAATAGACCTCGCGCATTTGCAAGCCACGCAGCTGCACTACTCGCGCAGTTGCTGGTCACGCGTAGTTGCAGTTTGAGAGTGCAGTTTGAGTCTGAAGTTTGAGAGTGCAAAATGTCTGTGTGCAGTTACACACACAAATTTTGCGGATCCGAGAGTGCGAATTTCTGAGTACTTCTGCACTCAGAACACCTCTGAGGGTGACTTAATCAGAGTGAGTGCAACTTCAAACAATATACTATATGTGGTTAAGGAACGACAGGGCACAATGTTCTGGGGGTCAGAAACGAGGCGGAGCCGAATTTGTGGTCCGTTTCGTCGTATCTCAACTTTTGCAATTTCGAAACAAAAAATTGTGGTCCAAAAGGTAAGGCAAGGGAATCCCATCACTACTTTTGAACGCTCATTCCGAATATGAACTTAGTTTTCTCGTAGCACACTTAGTTGTGTACGAACTCGAAACCAGTTTTGGCGACACTCTGGAGACGTCACTAAGGAAAGGGCACTCTCAATTTTCACACTCTAGCGGACCGAAGATTTCAGAGTTCACATGTGCACTCTAAAAATTTGAGTGCAAACCTCTGCCCTCACAAATTTTTAGAGTGTCATGGTCAGAGTGCAAAAATCACTCAGAAATTCTCTGAGTGGCACTCTTAACTCTCCCCTACACTCACAATTGTACAGGACGCTCAGAATATTCTGTCACTTAGAATGTTCAGAGTGTCACTCTCAAAATTCTGAGTGCATTTTCAGCAATGCATGACTGGCATTGTTGTAACCATGTATACATCATTTCGCACCCGCAAAGTGAAAATCATCCTGAGGTGGACTTTAACATCATTGTCATATCATCTGTGAATTTCTGCATCGCTATCTCCATTCCTTCTCGAGTTATCGTGCATACACACATACAAAGAGACAAAGAGAATGCCAATAAGAGGGAGAATCAGAACACAGCCCTCTCCTTAAATATGTGTACTGTCCGCTTCCAATCATT